ATAGATAATGCACCTGTATCTATATTGACGAGTATTCATCATTTATCAAGGAGCAGCTTAAACTAGTCTAATTCTGCTGGCGTCAAGCGAGCCCATGTATTTACCGAGGCAGAGTAGAAGGCCATGCTCAATATACCCACCTGTATTGAGGACTATAATCACCATCTGGTTGGTGTAGATATTGCGGACTAATATCGTGCCTACTTTTTTTTTTTTTTTTTTTAGATCATAGTTTCATTTATTTCTAGGTACAAGAATATCGCATGGAGCCTAAGCTATGGCGTGAACAACACCTATCCCCTACACTGGCCGCCCGGTCTGCCCGCTATAGTAACTGTGGTATGCTACCAACCGCACATCCTCTTGCAAGGTAGACGACAAGCAAACCCCCCCCCACTACAAGTCGACAAAAGGAAAAGAGTGAGAGAAGAGAGTAACAAAATGGCGAAAAACAGCCGTACCGCCCATGATAGTTCAGGGTCCCGAGTCGAAGGCAGTGTAATATCGAAAGGGAGCTCCTCCCCGTGAGGAAGAGCCGGTGTCAAGAAAGGTGGGGGGAGGACGGAGATATGAGCCTCTTAGCGGAGGCTGGGTTGGGAGGAGAGGAGAGGGTTGAGGGGCGCCGAAACCGGCATACCGAGGAAGTTGAGGCGAGGTGCGGGCGCTACGTCCTGTGAGATGTCCATAGCGGTGTGAGTTGAGGGGGGTTGGCGGTGGTGGTGGGTTTCCTGCTAGGGCAGGAGGGGGTGAAGGAGCGGTGGGCCCCGCTGCAGTTGACGCACTTGGCGGGGGAGATTTCGCAGCAGTTTTCAAGAGGTGCTGATGCCCCTTTGCATGAGGGGACTGAGCAGCGGTGATCCAGAAGTTTGTGGGGGAGGGTGCACAGGGGGCAGGCGGTGGAGGACCTGCATCCTTGGGTGGCGTGGCCGAGTTTGCAGCAGTTCCTGCATTGGGTTGAGGAGGACGCTCGCCACATGACGTTGCAGCGTCTGGGGTGGGAGAAAAGGCGGATGGTGGAGCCAATGGTCATTGCCTCATCTGCCGTTACGGAAACGACAACTGAGGTGGTGGCTTTGGCGCAGCGGGAGGATTCGTGCATGTTTAGGAACCGGACGGCGGCTGGGGTGATCCCAACGGCGAGCCTCAGAGCGGAGGGCAGAATCTCCTCAAGGCACTCCTGGTTCGGGAGTTCGTAGAGGGTGACGCCATGAATGGCGAGGTCGACGTTGGTGGGGGCGGGGCGGAAGGTGGTGAAGGGGTTCTCGGGGGTGGCCACCTCTACGTTGAAGATGGTGGTGAGGGCCTCGAAGAAGGGCGCGTAGACCGTTGATGGGACAGTGGGGGGGGGCTGTGACAGAGACGGTGCCTCTGGGGTTAATGGTGACGGAGAGGGAGGTAACTGGGGCGGTTTGGTTGTTTCGGGCCAGAGCTTGGCCGAAGAGGCGAGGTAGGGTTGCCGATAGCCTTTCGGTGTCGGTGATGGGGCTAGGGGTTGTCCTTGTTGCAAAGAAACGGCGGTGGGCTGCCGGTAGGGCCTTCTCCTTCGGGGAGGATCCTGGGGCCGATGCCTGGGCTGTTTTGGCAGTCTTCTTGATGGGGGTATTGGGTGGGTTGGGGGCGGAACGAACCACCTGAGCGTGTGTGGAGGTTGCCCTCGGTAGGGCAGTCTTGGCGGGCGGGGTAGGCCTGTGGGGGGTCTGGGGGGTCGGTGAGGGTGTGTTGGCTTTGCCGATTAGGGCGTCCAACTTCTGGATGATTCGGGGGTCTGAGGTGGGAGACGAGGTTTTGGGGGCCGTGATCTCTTTTCTCAGGGAGGCGAGTTCGTCTCCTATCTTGGAGACTGCGGTGGCGAGTTTGGCTTGTTGCCCGAGACTTGTCAGTAGGAGTAGTATGAGCGGTTTGTTGAATCTGCTAGTATGCAGATCTTTGAGAACGATGCCGCTCAGAGTGTTTACTGTGTCGGTGCGTTCTGAGGTATTACCCAAGTCGGCATCGAGGTGGTATAGACCTGAGGCTTCTAAGACCAGCGAGTCTATTTGGCGGAGTAGTAGGCCCTGAGGGTCTAAGTATTGCATTGAAGCCATGATGGGGGGTGGGATTTGGTGTGTGGGGACGGTTGCCACGTGGAAGGGTGGAGGTTGGTTTCAAAAACCAAGGATAAAGAGGGGAAGAAGGATGTAATATCGTGCCTACTATCATACTCAAATTTATATCAAGCGGAAATTGATTTCCTATTTTCTTCTAGTGTACAGACACAGCATTGATTCATACTTTTATTATATTCAATGACCTCATCGCGTCTATCAGTCATAAGAAATTTAGATTACAGGTTGCTTGGAGTCTGGTGTTTAACAACGTTACTAGAAGTCAAAAAAAAGCGGAAATTTCATAATCTGGAGGACGAAGAGCATACCCTCACAGATTCTCATGCCAGCAAATGTCTCTATATTACCAAGCGAAATGGTCTACCTGAACCTACTGTTTTTGGGCAACATTTACCTTTACTGCTTGAAGGGAGGTCGCACTGTGTCTGGTGTAGATGGAACAGATAATTGGAGGGGGGGTCTGGGGGCCCACAGGCCCTACAGACCATTTGGAAATTCGAGTCTTGTGGCCATGCTCTATGTCTAAATGATAAGCGGAATTGTTTTTACATGTACCATAAACACCAAGAATAGTAAAGCTGTTGTGGTGGTGATATTTTACTTTTCATCGTGGTTGTCAACCTGTAATTCGGGTTCGAAATCGAACCCAACCCGCTACGCACGAGGTGATAGATACGCATTGGGACCTTTACCCATCCTGCGCTCTACAAAGGTGATATATGACATGCACATATAGAATTGCGTGTTTGTTTTTTATGATAACTCTTCACCTTTCATGCGATCTATGACGTGGGAGATAGGGCTTTAATGAAAAGGGACACCAGGGTACATACCAACCTTGAGTCGGCACCAGTGCTGTCAACGAACTCAAGATTATCATCATCATCATCGTCTTTTATGGTGAGCATTGGATAAGAAACCCCATTCCAACCCGCCCTACTTTTCATACTATGGACCGTCTACTGTCTCGTGGGGATTTATTTGCACGACACAAACGACCCCCCGCCCCCCAAGGATGAATGAAATAGAGACATTTTATCTGTGCTGAGCTCGTTAAATAGAAAGTCGGACAGGTTGATCCGCAAAGATTCTAGCTATTGGGGGCAAACACTTGTAAGAATTCAGCCGAGAAGTCGAGGCGCGGGGGCTTTCTGTCCAACTCGTTGAGTATCGTTTGTCGTTTTCCCGTTTGAGGGACGCGCACGAATACTCTGTTTGCTTCGATCCATGGCACAGGGAAATCTAGATGTTCATTCACCCCCCCCGCGTTCCTTTTGTATTCTATCTTCTATCTCACCATCGAATTCTACCTCTTGAATTCTATCCCCATCGTATCATTAAGAGCTACCTCATCACTGAATTCTATCGCACCATTGAATTGTCCCAGCGATACAATAGAAAATCTACCCGCCGTCGTCGAGGGGACCTGTGTTGTAGGCTGCCTCATTAAGCTTTCCATACCCGACGGTACATCCCGTTACTAGCCGTATGATACATGTACTCCAGACCTAGCTATTACGTAGCACTCCCCAAAGCACCACACTACCATCTCTATCTATCCGCGGAGAAAATAAAATCTAGCCGCGCAAAGCCCGATGTCCGATCACGTACAGCCGTGTGCCCCGGTAGCTGCATAAGTGCAAGTGCAAGTGCAGTCTTGTGCACCCACTATCGTTTTGCGTGACAAGTGACACCGTGACTCCAGCAACAAGCCACAAGTGACCAAAAGGAGATGGGTGCCAAGAGGCGGGTTTACCGAATGCGGCGCGCTGCACAGGTTGGATCGAGAGCGAATGGCTAAAACGGGGCGGGCCGAGCCCCGTGCCTTCCACGTGAGGCTAGCTGGTTACAGCGAGTGCTTGAACAGACGTGGCGGCGTGGCTAGAGCGGGCGACCGTACTACGACACGCGCTGTTAAGATCGATTGGCTTAACCAGCGATTCTGTAGCCGGGAGACAGAAGACACGGATTCGATACGGACTTAGCGGCAATGACAGTTGGGACGACAACAGGAGGATAAAATGGCTGGAAAGCTTCTTTCCTCTCCAAGGCTCGAGATTCTCATAACCTTTTTACAAACCCTCGAATCGTGGTGTGATGTACTCTCGAGATGTGGAGTACGGTAGCTAATTCTCGGTGAGGCACAAACTACAGTCTCGACTCATTGGTCTAGGCCAGCAGACTCAGGTGATCTTCAAACCCTGGTCCACAAACGCTAGCGACGTTGCATTAAAAAAATGTCTTAGATGGTGTGGTGTCTCGCCTAGCTATAGAGTAGATACTTTATTATTAACAAAATCTTAGCTGGAGAAGATCATCTCTGAGCAGGGATTGGTCCTCATTGGCTGAGATCTATTATCAATTGGGTGGTATCAACCTTGACCCTGCACGCGGTATTAACTGACCAATTGTGATTTTTCTTCTGCATAATCGTTTTGCCAGCGCAGATTTTCTTTTGCCAACTTTTCCCTCTGTCGCTCACACACACAAGGTCACACTCAGTGTCACCATCCTGACCGACAGGGAAGAGCACCGCAACGAATCAGAATCCACAGAAAGAAACACTAATAATACTTGGCGGTTACACCAAATCTACTAGAGTACCTGTCCGTCAAACCCAGTGGATAGAATACTTTGACTTGGCAAATGCGGCATACCGAAAGAGAGGAAATACGGCATCGTGCAGAACCAGAAGTACGACGACCACCACACCATCTCCATCATCACCCATCACCCATCACGCCAGCCGCCAATCACCCGCATGAACCCACACCCACACACCCGCACCCGCAAACCAACACACACAGACACGCCCGGTATTTAACTAACCCCCCCACCCCCCGCTGCCTCTTCGTTGATGATCGAGATTCCAAGCACCCAAGAAATTAACTAACAATGGCGTCTCTCGAGCTCCTGCTCTTCTGCCTCGGCGTACTAATCGTGTGTTTCTTCGACATCGCTAGTTCGCCCACGTTCGCTTTACTCACTACTGGCTCCGCTATGTTGTTGTCACCGCAGGCGCTGTTTTGCTTACTCGTTGTTGTTGTGCCGGTGCCTCCAAAGGCGATAAGGTTGGTTGTTGCTTTGTCTGGCGGTTGTGGTTTGCGGGGGCGGAACACAGGGAACAGGGATGCCAACCGAGACCAGGAACGTTTGTTTAGGGTTATCGCGATCGCTATTGCAGCTATCACAGCTATTGTTCTCAACACCAGCAACAACAGCCACAATAGTAACAGCCACAGTACCAGTACCAATCTCCGCACCATTGCAACTTCCCACGCAACCGCCGAAATTGAGGAAACTAATTCTAGCTGAACCTACCAAGCACATTGCACCAAGGTTTGATCTTATCCCCCGCCCTCTTCTCCCGTGTTTCAGACATGGAGAAGAAAAAAGGAAAAAAACTAATCAGCCACGCAACGCCTACTTGTAGGTACGACGTGGTTAATACCAGAATACAAAATACCTACAGTGTAAATGCATACCAATTCAACCGCGGATATCCACCGTTCATGGCCCCCGACAGGCGCGATGGCTGGCTCGAGTCTTACCCGAGGTTGATTGACCGCTCCAGACTGCGCCAGGACATCTCAAGGGCATTTGCAGAGATGGCACCCAAGAAGGCTCCGGAACTAACTGTCAAGTCCGTGGAACTTCCGAAGCCCGCCATTCCCGCATCACCCCCTCCTCCTCCGCCGCCGCCGCCGATGACACAACCCGCAAATACCCCATGGAGCCTTGCCCGTACCCTCGCAGCACACCGCCCCCACCTACGCTCACAACAGGAACCAATACTGCTACTTAACCGCGGTGTCCACAAGAACAAGGGTAACAAGGGCGGGCATAAACTGAAGGCGGGTCTGCTGTCGCGTCAAAGCGAGATCGCGATGCATCTGGAGGACGTGCGTATCCGGGCTGTCTCTGCGCTACCGGTAGCACCACAATCACCACCACCCTCCCCACCACCACCAGCAGCACCAGCAGCACCAGCACTAACAGTACCATTACAACCGACATCACCAGCAGGTCCATGGGAACAGGCCAGCCGACTCCTGCGGTCCGCCAACTGGAGGGCAGCGTGTGGAAAGGTCAGAGGAAAGGGCAAGGGGAAGGATTTCTTGAAGTGCGAGCGGTCAACAAGCTTCAAGGTGACGGCAAAGACACAGACACTGTTGAGGGCCAAGGTAGCGGGGAGGGACAGGGCAGAGGCAGACCCTATGGAATGGGAATGGGAAACGACGGCCCAGCTGCCCGCAGAAAGGGCGCCGATGCCAATGCCCATCGCAAAGCCTACTGTCGTAGTGGCTCCTACCGTTATGTCGATGGCACACGTGCTGGCGCCAGTATCGATGCCTGCTCCATCTATTTCCGTCCCCGTCGTTTCGAAGACCCGCTCGCCCCCGGCCCAGCCTGCACCGGTGATGTCGGTAGCTCTACCGCCGATGCGCGTTCGTAGAGCCGGCGAGCCCGTAATGCCACAGCAATCACTGCCCGCACCTACACCCGCACGCGCTCCTGCACCCGTACCCATACCAGCACCCACACCGGCACCAGCAACGTTAATGCCTCCACCGGTAATACCTGCTCCGGTCACACCGATGGGTCCACCTCCTAGGCCTGCTCCGGTTGCACATATGGCTCCACCTCCCATGCCCACATCGCCCAATACAATCTCACCGCCTACAGTTCCCGCAGCAGGTGTCCGCAGTGTTCCTGGCAAGAAGATCGCCCTCTGGCTCGAGCCTCTCCCAGACCACGTTCAAGTGGGCAGGACCTTCACCCCCATGGCACCCATGATGGCCATGCCCGCCCCCCACCCACAACCCCGTGCAAAGCCAAAGCCAAAGCCACAGCCCGCGAAGCCGCCTACGCCGCCACCGGTCGACGCGGTCGACGCGGACTACGACAGCTTCGAGGAGGAGTACGAGGCGGGTGTGGCGGAGGAGCTCGGTAAGCCGGTGCCTGAGAAGAAGAAGAGGACACCGCCCGCGCCTGCACCGGGGGGTGCGGCATTTAAGTTTGATGTGACTGCGCTGTCGTTTGCGCCGCCGCCGGCGACGGGCGCGGCGCAGGGGATGTTGAAGCTGGTGTCGAAGAAGGGGACGGTGTTGAGGGGGAAGACGGTCGGGCCGGAGGCGGAAAAATTGAGGGCTAGGAGAAGGCTGGAGAGACTGGATCGTGACGGTATGCTGCTCCTTTGAAAGAGGAGGGTGGGAGGTCGGGGTCTGGCAATGGCAATGGCTAATGTGGTGTGGTGTGTGTAGATCCAGATCGGTAGACGGTGGGCCGAGTATATAGAAGGCATCTAGAGGAGGTGAAGATGGTAGCCCTTCGGGTCATGGAGCTCTATGGTTTGATCCTTCCTACTCCCTATTTTCCATTCCCTGTTTGCGAGCGCACATTGACCCCTCCATTGATCCACTCCCTACCCCCACTTCCTCCCACCTCCACTTCCCGCACCAGTCTTCGCTGTCACCCCGCTGCACACATCCCATCCACCGCTCACGACCACTAACCCGCAGTGTCCTGCATCACCTCACCACCTAAACCCCCTAGCTCCGCAGGTATCCACACACACAGCACGGGTCGACCGCAGCATGCCACAGCCGCGCCAACCGCAGCACCGACGGACATCAGCAAGCAACCGCCCCGGGTCTCCGCTCGGGACCTGTCTTTGCTGATGTATCCGGTCCCGAGTGAGGAGATGCGCAGAATATAAGTGATCCCACACCCCTCGTTGGGTCGTGATTGCGCTAACTGTTGATTCGGTCGGGGGAAGAGGTAGGGACCGTTCCGTAAAGGTGTGTCGTGGTTGGACGGCTGTGGCGGCCTGCGAGTCGACGGTTCTGTGTGTGGATGCGTGTGTGGTGTGACGGTGACGGTAGGTAGGGAGAGATGGTGTAGGGGACGGCGGGCGGGTGTGAGTACTGGGTGGGGCGTGTGAGTGGGTGAGGGTGTAGGGCTGGCTGTGATGAAGTGTGGTGGAGTGTAGTTGGTGGGTGGTTCTCGGTGGGTGATGGGGGCGGCGGTGGGTCTTGCTTGTGCGGTTTGGAGATGGCGAGATGCTGGAGGTACGGCGGATTGAGCTTGGCCTGTGGGGTGTTGTATATATTGTATCATTATGGTGTGGGCTGCGAGCTGGTATTGCAATTGGGGGTAATGGGCGGCATGGAATGGCGTTTGGAATGGCGTTTGGGTCTGGTTATATTAGACGGGAGGTGGGGGCCCTGTATCATTAGAAACCTGTATCATTAGAAAGCCTGTATTATTAGAGGATACCTAGAGACTTAATGGATGTTAGCAATTACTCGGCTCGATACTGCTCGATGATCGGTGGAAAAATGGCACGAAGATAGTCTTGTGGTAGGTAATTCCAATAAATGTCCCCGTTCAGGTCGCTCGTCTTGAACACGCCTCTCAATCCCCCGCTTGAAAAACTCCAAGTTCGAAGCTGCAATTGCCGAGAAATTTCAATTCAGGTGCAGAATAACTGTCGTATTGCATACCCCCCTCCGGCATAGCAAGAATTGACCGTATTGAAATCCATCCGTCGTGAGAATTCAAAATCCAGTACCCGACCGTAAAGCCCGCAGACCCGTTCCTCTCCTCCCTCCCGCCTTTTTCCTTTCCGCCCAACGAACCATCAAAAACCGGTCCCTCGCCGAACTTCCGCGGTCGCGAAAATTCTCCCGCTCCTCAAAGCCCGCCCCGTTCTCCCTCTATCCCCCCTTCCCCCTCCCCGCGACCCCACGACTCCGTCTCCCACAACTCTATCCACGGCCCTCCCCGCGCGCACGACCCAAAACATTATTACTGTTGGTGTTGGTGTACCTCCTCTCCTCACCACACCAATTCCAGCAACTTTCGCTGCGAAATCTGCGCTGCCATCCAGCACTTATCCTCCGGGCCTCCGCAGCGCGCGCAAAAGTGTGGGTGCGACGCGCTTTTATATGCTGCGCGGTTCACGCGCCAAGAGCTGTGCACGGACATGAGGGGATGGTGGTGCAGCGGGACACGTCAGTGCTGAGAGTGAAACCAATAGGGGAAGATTTTTGCTGCACTTTGTGCGGTGGTGCATGTGCACAGGAGGGAGAGCGGGAGGATAGAGCAGCGATGGGCGGAAGGGGCGTGTGGGAATGGGGGGTGCATAAGTGCGGATGGGGTGTGGCTGCGGCGCGTGTTGGGGTTTGTTGGTGCGAACGCGGGTGAAAGTGGGGGAACGGGTGTGTGGTCGAGACTCGAGACTGCGGTTGGGCGCGTTGAGGTCGTGGGTGGGGGGGGTTGACGCGTGGTGCGCTGGTCGAGGTCCGCGGTGGTGCTGCTTTTGTGGGAGCGCGTTTCTTGCTCGTTGGGTTTGCTCCCACCCTCACCCTCCTCACCCTCACCCTCACCCCCCGGAGGAATCTTTCGGCGGGTCCGGGAGGGGAATGTATCATTGAGTTCAAACACGCCTGCGCTCTGGGTATCGAGTAGTAGCGGGTGTTTAGCGAGCGACGAGTGTTCCGGTGGAAGGATCGCGTCTCGCTTGAGACCCGTCTCCTTCCTAACAACCCATCCATTCATCTCAACTGCCATCAACGCCTCCCGCCAACCAACTGTGCATTAATATGCGTCCTGCCTATTCACGTGCGAAAGTGTTCTCTCCAAACACAAATCCGCGGGTATCCGCCTTGCTGCTGGTGCGTACTTGATGCACCATTGGGGATCGACGGGGCCCGGGTGTTTTGGGGACGGCGGTGGAGCGTTCTGTTTTGTCTGTTCACGGCGAATCAGTGCGGACGGAGAATCGGTTATCTGTCGATTACCCCTCTCCCATTTTCCGGTCACAGGGCATCCCTCGGTTTTATTTGGGGTTTCGTTGGGTTGATAGTTCGACTGACTGTTTGCGGTGAGTAAGCTATAACATCGACCGCTTAATCTACGCTGGCAGATGGAGCTAGGGGGGGCAATCTGGCTCCGCCATGTGTATGCTTGGTGAGTACAAGTTTGGTATAAGTAGACAAGGTCACGGGATGGCAGGTATCGAGATTTTCGTCAGGCCGCACGTCGCGATGGAAGACAGCAGGTATAGATCCCCAAATACCCGATTTCCATCACCTATTAGCCCCACAAGACAGGGCTGTGCTGTCGGTGGCGGGGCGCGAGGTGGTGGGTGGGTAGCCAATCGCTCTCTGCATACTCGGGGGTAGAGCCTTCTGGTGTAAGCATAATTTGAAAGACCCTCTATACGAGTACTGCATAGTGATATCGATACATCTCCATGCCTGCGTCGAAGGCTACCGCCGGTTTGAGGGTTCGAGTGATAGACTGTGATTAAAGTGAATTCTTTTTTTGGGGGAGAAGACGCGCCCCGCCGCGGGGGCACGGGGCGGGGGGAGGGGGTGGCTAGCTTGTAAAAGAGGGGATATAAGCTCTGGCTTGGTTATAACTATAAAATCGGGCGTGGAGGATGGGTCGGTCGTAGTCTGTTAACTAAGGGTGCGAGTGATACGCTATGACTACGGAGAAAAAGGGCGAAGGGGGATAAGCTGTGCCAACGCCTTCACACCCGACCAAACGGGGGTCTGGCTGTTTATAACACAAGAGGAAAGAATAGACTGCCTTGGTAGTACTAATATAACCCCTGACGTGGAAGCTGACATGTACTGCCCTTACGCGGCAATTGAGGGACGAGTGATATGCTATGATTACATAGGGCCCGGGGGGGGGGGTTCGGGCGGTGAGTTAAGACGGGAATCTGGGCGGTTGAAGAAGAAGACGGCGCGGTATATGGCTTGGATGTATATATCCGGAGCGCAGGAAACGGGAGGAGTCTATCTGTGAGGAAATGAGGCGAGTGATAGGTTATGATCACAGCGGAACGGGCCCGGGGTTATTGATTGACAGATCGTTTGCAGCGAACATGAAAATTGGACAAGAGAAGTGAGAGAAACATTGTGGCCCGTCAATTCGCGAATGCTGTCTGACTAGCTACATAGCTAGTTCCTTTGATTTTTCGTATAGATACCATTTGGTCTAGTCCCTAAAGGGGGACAGGCCGGATGGGGGACTTGCAGGAGCCCGTTCCAGAAGGTGATTGATAGTGGAACATTCGGCAGGAAAGGCAAGCAAGGGGAATGTGCAGGACAAAGTGTTGGTAGAATAAGCTGGTCAGTACCGGCACTGTTAGTTTCTCTTAGTTATAAAGGATCGATCCCCTACTATAGTTTAGGAAGTCGGATAATAATCAATTATCGATATCCTACAGGACTGGCGGTCAGCGGATTAACAGACTGGCGATTGGGCTGAAGACCGAAGAGACAGGAGACTGGCTGGTTATTGACATCCACTCATATATCGATCGGTTACTATTTAGCTGCTAGTGCTCCTGGAGATGTGTTCATGCGCTCGTGAAGGATACCTACTATCTATATGGTTAACTTACTCAATCACTCTGCGCCGTCAGTGTCAGGGGTGGGGGCACGGGTGTGTCTCACGTTTTCCTGCATGTTTGTGTCTGTGGCTGCTAGCATGGTAGCGGGGACTGTCCGTTCGGGACGATGTTAAAAGGAGCGGCAAAGGCCTATTGTCAAAATAAGATACTGCCAGAAACGGGGGCCTGAGTACATGCGAGCCCTAGAAGTATTACGGGCCAAGACAGATGAATGGCGGTAGGGTGGGGCTTGGAGTAAAGGGGAGTTTGAAGGCGTGGAGTGAGGTAGGGTGTTAGGTGTTGTTTTCTGCCCTCAGAAGAGGAGGTGAATTTGGCGCAGGTCTTAACGCCATGGAAGGTATGTGCTGATCTATGATCGAGAGAGTGTGAGGCTCAGCCCGGCCTGCCCCTTAGATATATTGATGGTCTTATGGGTAGTAAGAACCAAAGTACAAGTATGAAAATTCTGGCTGAGCCTAGTCTCGAGACATAACGCAAGGCCGTTCCGCTGGATGCTCTTCAAATTCGAGTTATTTGAGCCAAGCATGTGCAAGTACCTTTACGCGAAAGATAAGACGAGCAGGAACTGAGCATTATTGTGGGTTTATCTCCTGTCCTTTCTCTACTTAGAGCCCAATCTTCTTCCGGTGCCGAAGCTTTATTAATTATTGCCTCGTAACCAACGTTCGAGTGATGGATAATGATTAGAAAATGGGGCAAAGGAAACGATGGGCAAGAGATAAGATGTTTTGTGACTGTTGCCGGCACAACATGGTAGCAATGCTGGACAAGACAATACATCTTGGTCCCATCAAACTCGGGCCTAGAAAATTTAAAATAACTCCTTCTGCAAGTATCCAGCGGATCGAGTAAGCAGTTATGATTGAATTAAGTGATGACGACATGCCTCGAGACTTTGACAGGCGGAGACGGGGCTTAGTTGGTGACAGGGTGTGAAGTGGGAGCAATTGGGAAATACCATTGCTCATACTTCAGGAGGAGAAGCCGACATCAAGAATCAGTAATTTCCTGGGGTAGCCAACGGTCGAGTGATAGGTTGTGATTATGCGTAAGTACATGTAGGGAAAAAGCAGTGAGTGGGAAAGAAGATTTATCAAGAATTCTGGTATCACAAGATAGGATATGGAAGATTTTGGGACGGTACTAGACAGGACACGGCTTCGGGTATATAATACCGGGCGTGAAATCATAAATTCAACCTGGTCCTGGATAGCTAGCAGCGGGTCGAGTGATAACCTAAGATTACACAGAAACAGCGAAAAACTAGTAACGGCTACCAGACGGGGTGTTCTGAAACTAGGCCTCAACTAGGCTCGTACTCCGCTATCACACCTGGCAAGACTTGAGCTTTGTTGTCCCGGCTTTGGTGAGATCATTCTGTAGGGTCAGGGGCTCTCCGACGTCGGAGTGGCGGCTGTCAGGACTCAATTTACATACAAAAAATTTATTCCGAGCACTACCACAATTCGAGCTCCTGTCTGACAATTCAGGGCCCCACATCGTAATTCAGAGCCCGATATCACACTTCAGAGGCTCACATATGAAACAGAGAATACTGGGCCTTTTACCGACATTTGTCGGGGAGATATATTTTGTTCCGGACCCTAGGACTAATCATTAGTTTTCCGCTAATACGAGATGAATACAACAATACAAGTACATGTAGGCCTCAAAGCAGCATTTGGCAGAAGAGAGACGATCTGCCGGTTGTAAGAGGAGATGGAATAAGAATTGGCCTCGACTTGTGCTCAGGTATTGCGAGTTATCAAAATTATCCGAACATTGTTGCAATCAAATTTTTAACTTCAACGTCGCCTTTCTCCACAACCATAAGGAGGGAGTACAAGTGATTTGATTACTGTGAGTTCTTGTGTCTCTATTACTTTAAGGTTCAATATAAGCTCAATTAAAGTAGTTTCAAAATTTGGTTATTCTAGCCAATTTGTGTGGTTGCGGCGAGAGCGTCCGGATAATTTTGATAACCCATAATATGTTATATGGTGACTGGTAATACTTCATGTATCTAGCTATATCAATATTTGGTTTCCCAACCCGCAAGGTCGGAGAAATTAATCAAGGAATTAGGTTCCAGCGCCCGGGCTGAGCTCGTTCCTGCCCAAGCTTTTTGGCGGTGACGTTATTTTTCTGGGGATGCTTCTGCCAAACATTGAGGTTGGCGTAATTTTGTATGGAGATGTAATGCGAAGACGCCAAGAGGGCAGAAAAACAGCGGAAAGTCAAGGCTTTGTCTCCGGAATCAAAATATCACTATCGAAAACTCAATTATTGTTCGGAACTAGTCCAAATCATAGATTGGTGATTTCTGATGACGAACATTATAGGATAGCTGTATTTGATGAATTCTCTTGACCAGAATGAGTATAGCGGTTGCGGAAAACTTTCCGGAAACCCCTTTGGCGTTGTGGGAATGAGTTGAACGCGTTACACAGGCTGGTGATTGGTTGAGTCAAAAGTTCTGGAACAGTAACCCACTATCTTCAACCTGATACGAGGTCAGTCCTGGGTATGATTTTGTAAAAGACATAAACGATTTCTTTATGGGTCGGATGGATGAATTTTCTCTACAAGATAAGGATTTGATTACGATTCATCCCTTTGAAAGTGGGATGCATCATTACTCGTTATGAGCATCCTCGCGGTCTTTACCAGCCATCGAAATGAATCTTTTGATATCTTTCCCACAAACAGATTTTGGGAAACGAATCGATTGATTCATTTCCCGGGGACGGTTGTGGAAAAACCAGAAAGGATTCATTTCCGGATTCATTTCCGGATTCATTTTCTTGGTAACGTCAGGTCACTTAATAAACACTTTTCGATGATTCATTTCACACCAAAGTTTTACGTGAGAAAGATTCATTTTTTGATTCATTTCAATAGTTGGTAGAGGGTCAGGCTCAAGTAACATCCTTCAGATTGAAGTAGAACAAGGAGGTCTTCGGGTTTCTTCGATCGCCCCTATCTTGTTTAGTTAAGCTGATGGATACTATGTTTGGGCTCAACGTGACAGGGTTTCACTTTGTTCAATAAAAATAGTAGTAGCTTGAAGGAAATAGATATATACGACGTTATGTTGGGAGAATTAGAAATATGTCATTTCATATTTATT